GTACCCTCAATCACCTCGTACCCTCAATCACCTCGTACCCTCAAACATACTGATGTATCCTCAGATACAAGAACCTTAGAAACAGCTTTATAACCCGATATATATTTAGACTGATAAATAGACTACAATTCATTAAATCAACAGAGATTCATAAATAACAGTTTGAATTTCTAAATTTGAAATGTTATTTTTGTACAAAATTAAAATATTTTTTTGTATTTTTATTTGAATATTTTCTTGAATTAAACTTTATCTTGGGGCATTTGTAGTTTCAATTATGTATTATAATCTGTGTAGGTTTTTTCGGCCCGCCACTGAGAGGATGACAGCTTAATTTTCGAGCTCCCCGATGGTTTTGTGAAATAACCCCAAAAAACGGTAGTTTTTCCAATACCAGTGCAAATTTTGTTTAATAATGGAGAAAGGGGTTATTACTAGAAGTAGGACGACCAAAGACGTGATAGAATATGATCCCGAACTGGGACAAGACAGCCGAGGCAGCTCTCCGGGCCCATATGCTCATGACGAGGATAGCTCAGAAGCTAGCCTGCGAAGCATTCTCAATGAACTTTGGGACTTCAGAAAAGATAACAGGGTACAACTCACTGACATTAAAACCGAATTGAAGAGAGCAAATGACAGACTGGACGAGGCAGAGGGGAGAATAGATGAAAATGAGACAGTGCTTCAAGCAACATCAATGCTAATTAAACGGCTAATGCAGCGCCAAGCTAATCTGGAAGCCAGGCTGATAGACCAGGAGGGCCGAGCGCGCAGGGATAATTTAAGGATTTACGGAATACCCGAAGATAAAGACGGTGTAGTGATAGTGACGGTGGTGAGGTCCCCCGCCCCTCCAGACCAAGAGGAGATCCGGCTCCTGTCTACCTGGCAGGTGGCCGGGAGATGGCAAGACCGGAGTGACGACCAGGAACCCGGTGCCGACTGCTACACACAACCCGAAAAACCCCACCGTTCTCGATACAAGGATAAACTCCAGGAATTCAGAAGGCGATCCCCCACGACAGGACACCGATGATTCTTCACAGAAATGCAGATAAGTTGTAATCGACTTCCGAGTGAAAATTACTTTAATTATTTGTCCGGAGGACTGCCTTGGCCTTCTAAAGAGGCAACTACTCCTACAGGTTTATGTTCTGGTTAATTAAAGCAGTCGGGACTTGTTAATTGGCTTGTTATCCATGGTTTATTTTACTTTGTGTGGATTTTGGCTAATATGCGGCCACACTCTAGGGCCCCACCTCTGACGCTACGTGGGACTTTCCCTTATGGGGGCTTTGACTTTATAAAGTCCTCTAAGGCTCATTTGAAACGAGCCTCTATATCAGAAACAGCTACTCTAAACCGTTTCGGTGATCTTCTGTTAAAAGCTGTTTCGTGTTCTTTGTTTTACGTTTGTTTTTTGGGAGAGATGTTTTCAGTGTACAACTTTTATGTTATTAGGGATATTGGGAGAGGTCCCATCTGTGATTATCGATGTTTGAAACTATGAATAAAAACGTCCTTAAGGTCATTTCATTTAATGTGAAAGGGATTTTAAAGGCAAATGTTGTGCTCTTGCAAGAGACACACCACACCCCATCAGAACATGAAAAATTAAAGAGTATGGGGTTTTCAATGGTATATTATTCATCTTATAAATCAGGTCGTAGGAGAGGCGTAGCAATTTTAATATCACAAAAGGTATCATTTGAATTACTTTCAAAGGTAACAGACAAGGAGGGGAGATATATAATAGTCTCTGGAAAAATAGATGGCGTTACAATAACTTTATGTAACATTTCTGCCCCCCCTGGAAGTGATTTTGGTTTTTACAGAAAGGCATTTGATTTAATGATGGGGGTCCCAGGAATTGTCATATGTGGTGGAGATTGGAACATCCGTCTTAATCCAAAACTAGATTCATCAAAAAATGTCACCACTACATCGTTGCATAGAAAAATTAATGTTTTAATGGCAGAACTGGGCATATTAGACCTATGGAGAGATTTTTACCCATCAGGCCGTGATTATACATTTTACTCATGCCCCCATGATACATACTCAAGGATAGACTATTTCTTTGTGTTAAAGAGAGATCGCCATAGAATGCATAGCTGTGATATTGGAAGTATTGATTTATCTGATCATGCACCTCTGTCCTGCACGGTACATGTTAGCGATAAGGTAGGAAAAACACTGTGGAGGTTAAACACAAGTATCTTAAACAACTCGCAATTTAAGACCCAAATGAGAGGAAATAAAGGTCTTTCTGGAAGAAAATGATAACGGGGAGGTTGATTCAGCTGTAGTATGGGACGCCTTAAAAGCAGTCATCAGGGGGAGAATCATATCTTTCTGTGCCCATGAGAAGAAAGAAAAACAATCACGACTACTAAACCTTAATAAAGAATTAAAGGATCTCGAGACGCAGCATAAAAGAGAACAAAAGACAAATTTATCGACAAAAATTAAGAAAGTTAGGAACAAAATAAATCTATTGTACTCACAGGAAATTTAAAAAAATATGATATTTACAAAACAGAAATATTATGAGTCAGGCTCAAAATCAACAAAACTTCTGGCGAGAAAGCTGCAGAAACAACGAGCGGATAACACAATATACAAAATAAGGGATCCGGTTTCTAAAACTATACATTATAAGCAAGATGAATTACAAAATGCCTTTAAAAAGTACTACAAATCTCTATATACACAACCACAACTAGAGGGCGAGCAACAAATTAGCGAATTCCTCAAATCCCTCAGCCTCCCTGTTTTATCAGAAGAACAAAATCAGATATTAACTGCAGCGGTAACAGAGACAGAACTAAACAGCGCCATCTCCAGGCCTAAAGCCAATAAGTCACCCGGTCCG